AACCTAATGCAACGGCGTCTAAGACAAGGCTAACACAACGTTTTTTTTACAAAATACAACGTTTTCTGTAGCGGTTTACTTATGCATAATGCAGCGGTTCCATACACAAAGGCAACATTCATTGCAAACGCAACAGGTTCCAATGATAGTTTCTTGATACCTAATGTCGCGGTTTCGTACACAAGGGTAGCGGTTTTTCCAAAACCAGGGAGCAAACGCGACAGTTGTTTTGTAGCTAATGCGACGTTTTGCTTTGCTATGACAACAGTTTTATTGGGCTATCGTAACAGTTTTATAGGGCTATATCAGCACTAGAAATTTGACTAATAAACAAACACAGTTACGTAAAGCAAAATAAAAATGGAATAAGATCACACTACATTAAGATATCATCAAAATAAAAAATAATAAATCATTCATATGTTTTAAACCCATCATTTAAAAATAAGTAGCTACAAGATAACTTCAACCTATGATCAATTCACAACCATCAAAATATAATCAAAGCCCATCATTCATGTATCAAAGCCATCTTGACCGCATTCTCCTATTTAAGTCTTTATATCCCCTGCAAAAAAAATAAAGAAACGTACCAAATATCATGTTAGCAACAAACTGGAAATGTAATTTTTTGAACTAACCATTATGAGGAAAAAATATTGACCTTGTATTAACCATTACAAAATGCAACAATAAGGCTAAAGCAATGTTTTTCTCCTATTTAAGTCTTTATATCCCCTGTAAAAAAAAAGAAACGTATCAAATATCATTGGTAAATAAGGAGACCAAAATTTTTAATTATTTAGTAACTTATTAAGTACTAATGTCAGAGAAAATGTTTAGTCCATATGTTTTCTGGTCAGCAATAACTTATTAAGTACTAATGGCCACCAACATATCGGTTTAGTACATATGTTTTACAGCAGTCGCAACAAGAGCTTATCCTATTCTTGGTGATCTCTGAACATCCACAGAATCCAACAAATTTTATCTCGAGGATTAACTAACTTAAGAAAAGCCTTGTCCCCCTATTTATTAAGTCAATAAGTAATTTAAATTGGTTAAATTAGTAATGCCTACCACAAGGTCCATATAGTTCATGAAAATGGAGTAAAACGTTATTGCCTTTTCCCCCTCCCCCACCAAAACATGACTACCTTGAAATTATAAACTCAACTAACTGACATGTAGGATCAATCAGAATTTATGTAGAAACAATATTTAACATGTTGTGTATTTAATATGACATGCATCAGTCAAATGTCTGCAAAAATACCAACAGATGCCACCACTACAGCCACATATTGCAGATTAAAAGCAGGACTAATGATACAGTTGACAAACCAAATAGATCATTTTCATAACAGCATAAAATAAGACAAATTAAGGAGTATCCTCTGTTCAATCCCAATCTGATTCATCTTGATTTCCACTTTCTGATTCATCTTGATCTCCACCTTCTGATTCTTCTTCATTTTCATCTTCTAGCTCCTCCATGTTTGGCGGAATGTCAACAATGGAACTCGATCGGCAAACATCTCTATACCAACCAATATTAACTGCATCATCATCATCATCAATGCTTGCAATCAAATCCATTTTGTTGTCATGATTCTCGGCCCAATATTGATCACTATGAGTGACACCAAGATCTTCAAACACATTGCTTGGAATCTTAAAAAGCATAATGCCAATTCTTGTTAACCTCTTCAACATGGTCTTTCACATAAAAAACTTGATGCACTTGGCATGCCATCACAAAAGGATAATTTATATGAAATTTGTTGTTTAAATTTACACGAGTAAGCCCATATTCATCCGTGTCATCCTGAAACTAATCACACTTAAACAAAACAACACTAAAATTGCCCTAATAGTCTAGTTCAATGATATCTCGTATGACTCCATAGAATGTCACTTTAGCAGTTATACGATTATGGTCCCTAGAGCTTGCATAACTATCCACTTCACTTAACAAAGAAACACAACTATTTTGAGTTTTGCATGTATTATCGTGTGCTTTGATGTAGAAAGTATAGCCATTAATATAATATCCTTTACATCTATTGGGACCCATCGAAAAAAACTTCATGCATTTGGGTATTGATTGAGATTCAGCCACGGTGTCTTTAAACCATATAAGAAAATCCTTACTATGCCTTTGAGCTTCCACCCATTTTCTTCTTCTACCTCTTTTGCTCGGTTGATTCTCAATCAAGAGTTTGTGTTCTCTGTATTAATAAGAAACAAACATAATATGTTATATAGTGGAATTTAAAGAACACCAAAAATAATATATAAAGATTTAATAAATAAAGTATACCTAATATACTCTCCAACTTCCCTATTACCGCATTTGAATAAAGCATATCTATGTGCATTAACCCAATCTACATCATCCAATGCAAATACTTTGCCTTTACTTCTCCTCTTTCCGCGCACTGGATGACCTATCTTTGGAAAAATAGGTGATGGCTCATCATTAGCAATGACTTCATCATACTTTGTTGTTCCGGCAATACCTCACTTGTTAGTTGATCTTGCATATGGATGATAAACTTGAAAACTATAAGGTCATAGATATGGGAGAATAAAAAGATATAAAAGAAATAACAGGTCAGAAAGGAATACAACCTTATGAGCTGCATCCTTCAGAGTTTGAAGATTCTCTAATTTCAACTTGTAAGTTTTTATCTCGTGTGATCCCTGTGAAGCTTTTTTATAACCTCTAGAGCTTTTGTATAACTATACAACACACAAAGATAAAGTGGGATCATATTGTATTAGATCAACATTCATGAACACAATAACAAAATAGTCGGCTTGAAATTCAAATGCATTGAATTTCTTTTATAAAAAAATATTAGAAAATCGAGCGCAAAGAAGAAAATCCAACAATGAACAGAATCGCTAAAAGACCCACAAAATTATACAAGTCAATATGAACTTGAAGAAATAAATCCAAGTCAAAACACAAATAAACAGGACTACTTTCCCAAACAATAATTGCGAAGGATATCAAAGGCATTACTTTATGTTTTTATGATTCCTTAAATTCAACATTGGATCACCGACATATTGAGAGCTGGACGCTTACTTAATCTGAGCATCAAAAAGTGATCACTAGCAAATATTTCTCTATTTTGTGCAATATACTTACCCTCAATTGAAAAAAAAATTGCATTCAGAATTCTAGCATAAAAAGACATGGTTAATTTATTTACTTTATTTATTGCAGCTTACCTCAGAACCTAGCCACATGTCAATCATTTTATACAATTATCAACCTAATTTGAACTGCTTGACGCATATTTTAAAGACCCAAGCGAAGCAAGATTGTTTTGAATTAAATAAAAAATTCAAACATCAATTTTGGAAACCCTCATTATAAATAAAGCCTGTCTGTAGCGAAATGCTCTACCAAGACAAATTTTTTTTCAAGATATTCCATTTAACCTTGAACTCTTACTTTCCAACACGTAACAATAAATTTTCACAAAGATTATCTTATATATAAAAGCACCCACGTCAAAATGTTGAACACTTATTCTTCATTGTTAAGGAAAAGAACACAAATGGGTTATAAATCCAAATAAATTCAAGTACCAACATAAGGGGAAGGGGGCCTCATCGATTTTGGTTCTTGGGTCATTTCTCTCTCTACCATGGACTCCACCTGCTGGTTCAGCTTCTTCACCTCGCATCTCGGCATCGTGGCTTCAGCGGAGGAGCTTAAGGCTTCAGCCGCTTTGGTTTCGGCTTCGGCGACCATTGCGAACGAGATGTCGCTGGCGGAGACAATGACGCCCTCGAGGGCGAGGGAGATGGAGAGGTTGTCGGTGCCACACCGAACGTCACCGACGGAGACGCCGGCGAGGGGCCCGTCATCCTTGAGCACCTCTAGGGTTTTCTCAACGTTTTTGGAGTGGCTGAGGAGGATGTCGAGCTGGACCTTGTTCACGCTGTGGATTCGCCGTAGATCTTGCGCCAACGCTGGAAGCCAGTGTTGTTGCAATAGTTGCGGACGACCTCTTTGTCGTCAAGGCAGCCGAGCGCTTCGGATTGTTGCTAAACATCCCAAACGGTTTAAACCATTTGCCGCTTGCGTTTGGGATCTCCTAACAGTCGTTTGGGTTTTGTTATCTCAAACGGTTTCAACCGTTTGGGCTATTTTTACTTGTCCAAACGGTTCTAATAACCGTTTGGACTGTTTTGTTTTGTACTAGTGAGAAGAGACATGCCAATGCTGAACAGTTTGACAGGGAAATAAAAAGAAAAAAAAACCATTTCTCATGATGAACATTTAGTGCTTCTCGGTCAAGTACCTAACCAAATCGACAATTGCCTAAGACTGAGATTAAAATAGCGAAATTTGAAAGTGGTGCTTTTTTATCCCAACGCTTGCATGCTACAAGCTTCTATTCGATTGAACACGAAGCAGATATCTCACCCTCGCATCATGCTACAAGACTGAGATTAAACGTTTTTTTTCCTCAACATACGCAATAAAATTGCCACCAACAAGGTGCCCCCTAAATCTAGAGGAAATAATAATTATAAAAACCCAAATAATAAGGAGAAAACAACAAAATTAAAAGGAAATGACGTTGATCAAAATTTCAGGATATATAGGCTAAAAGAGCTATCCGATCGAACATCAGAGACACTACATTATTTGCTAGCTATTCTGATTGATCTCCTGATAACTTGGAGTGCTTCGAACAAATCTCTGCTCACTTTTAATTAAACCTTTGGTAATTAAAACAACCTTGATCAGAAGCCAATACATGCAACTAAAAAGATACCAACATGAGACGTCAACATGAAAATTAAGGGTTATGCTAGTCTAAAATCCACAGCTAATTAAACAGACGTCAACATGAAATAAAAACAATACGCGTATCCATCCACTGTTCACAGCATCAAGAAACTCTTCACAAACTGGTATGTATCACAAACGCATGTACACGTTGACAGCCAATGCGGAAGCAAACTGGTATTTACACTGAGACGAAGGGAGAAGGCTGTGGCGGAGCGGCCCAGTAGCCGTAGGGACTCGGAATCGGATGGTATCCCGCGGGAAAGCCACCACGGTAGGCAAACGGCGGCCCAGGAACAGGACCACAGCCTGGCGGAAAGACGCCACGATAAGCATACAGCCGAGGAGCACGACGAAAGGGCGCTAGAGGCGCACAACTCTGACGGCTCAAAGCGATGCTAGCCAGAGCTACAGGATTGAAGAGCATCACGATGTTCCCCGACTCCCTTTTCCCGTGTTCTTCGAATCCATAGAGTATCCCCGCATGTTTCCCCTCGTCAAAATCCGGAAACTCCCTCTTCATCTTCCAGAACGCCATTGCCGTGAGCAGGCTGTCATGCCCTGCCTGATGCGAGCTCCCCGTCCACTCGATCTCCAGCACCCTCGAAAGCTTAACCAGGCCCACCTCAGAGAGAGACGCGTCGTACTCCTTCGCCATATGTTTGAGGTCGTAGACCCTCGTACCGAATAGTTTTCTCACCAATCTCAAGAAACCCGCCAGCGTGTCCGGCAGAGGCGTCTGACCGTAGACGATCTTGATCAGGTACGCGAGGTCGTACATGCCGTGGAAAGTGATCCACTTCAGCCCTTCGCCTCCCCTAAGCAGCGAGTTCTCCACCAGCCCCTTCGAGAGAACGTCCGCGCTGACCCCGTCCCTGAGATTCTTGCCGAAGTCAATCCCGCTCTTTTTCAGAAACTCTATCGAGGCTTCCGAGCAATCATCGACCCGAGGATCGAAGTCCTTCATGTTGAACTGCCAGGAGGCGTAGCTCTCTTCGTTAGTCAGGGTGATTCCCAGCTGTATCAGCTTCATCCTGTCGACGTTGTACTTGAGAGCGCTGTAGATTTCCTCTTCGGAAATTTAATTAGTGGCCGTTAAACTTAGTCCTAATCAGATCGGGTTTAAAATCTTCAATTGCAGCGTTTCCTATTTGTTAATTTGCCAACTCGAATCCTGATAGGTTAAGGAAAGGAATTGATTTTTCTCACTAGAACTGGGGCCTATATTGGGTTTTTGTCATCTTAGACCCCATATCTTCTTAATCCTATATTGGGCCCCTAGATACCTATTATTTATAAATTCCACCCGGCTTTTTGGATTGACACCAACAAACTATTAAGTTGTTGTCAATATATAGGACCCCTACTTCAAACCAAGACGAAGATTTCAATATGGGTCCAATTCGGAAATTAAAGATTAAGGGCTGGATATAAATCAACAAGGATCTGGGGGTCTAATATGACAAAATACGTTTCGTTTAATTTTTGGAAGCGAGTTCACTTCAGATTGACTATTGCCAAAATAAGAGAAAACTCCTTTTTTTTAACCCTGGATCGTGATCAAATAACACTTCATAACTTTAAAAATATCAAAAGAACCCCCTTAAGTTTAGAGGGGTTGTTAGAAACCCCCCAATAAGTGTATGTAAGGAAACTCCCTAAATATCATTAATTAGAATTTTCACATGGGTTAGTAAGATTACACCTCGAAATATTTTTGCAAGTGAAAATTAAGATTCATGTTTCGAGGGCGGTTTATGAAAATATATTGAAGTTAAAAGGGTTTCCTAATAACATCTAAACTTAAAAGTTACATCTTATATTTTGAAAGTTGTTGGGGATTATTTGATAATCGCCCAAAGTTAGCCTTTTCTTTTCCTCTCGAAAACCTATCAAATTATTTTATTTTAAATAAGACCTCTTCAGGCCATTATTAAGATTTACGGGTCTTATATAGAAAATCTTTACGGTTTAATATAAAATTAACAAAGACTTGGGGTTGATATGACAAAAGAAATCCTTTTTTTTTGGCATTTAGATACTCTATGTTGAATTTAGTATCATTTATATACCTAACTTGTTTACTGTTGGAATTTGCTAAACAACATTTAAAATCTTGCCAAAAGGTAAAATTTCTCCACTATTAAAACTAACAAGCTATAGGGTAAAACCCAGCCTTATTTCAATTATTTCCCTTAACTTTTACTAAATCAACAATACCCTAATCTTGCAATATATTGAGGAAAAAGTTGAGATTATAGTTGAGATCTTGGACAACCAATTAAAGCGAAGGATTGGAGTTCTTAGACAACTTACAATTGATCCAAAATTTATAAATCATGTGATTATCATCCAACTTAACGAGTGTTATCCAATGAGCAAATTTTATCTAAATTATATTTATTGTTTCCAAATAATTGCTAAGCTGTTTACCCTTTGTATGTGATTGGTAGAACTTTAATTGAAGTTGGAGAGTGAAGCTACAACTTTCATGCTACTTTTTAATTATTCTATTTTCTCCGAACTAGAAACAGTGATAAAAAAAGACGATTTATAAGAAATAGAGGAGAAAAAGGTAACTTATGATTTAAGGAATAAGCAATCAACAAAAAAAGACGATTTATAAGAAATAGAGGAGAAAAAGGTAACTTATGATTTAAGGAATAAGCAATCAACAAACGTCAATTAGGAAGGCGAATGTGAAAGTATAAATATTAGGATAAAAGAAAATTAAAAATTACCATACATCCAAAACATGAGAATATTTAAGAGAATCACGTCTGCGTGACAGAAAGATACAAGGGTTTTTAGACATCAATTCCCTAAATCATTTGATATTAGTCCTACAAATCTTCAAATTTTGATACTTAATCTCCAAATCATCTTGATATATTGATATTTGCCCTTCCATTAGACAAGCTATCCATATCTTTTAACTATGGTTGTGTTTATGTTCTTTTCAAAACTTTTAATTGAATAACTTAGACTTGGTATTGTATAACTATAATGAAAAGATTTTCTAAGAAATTTACTTTGGAGTTATGCATATAGATATTTTCTTAAGAACAAACTATCTCTAATTAGATTGTTTAGAAATATCAACAAGTTAAGTATATATTGACTTATACAAATTAGAAAGATGACTGAATTTTATGGGTATATTCGCTTTAAAACCCTTACAAGACTATAACTCGTTCTCTAGGATCCTAGCAGTTTAAAGGCTTATTGTGTGTGCTAAATAAAACTTCCATTTGTTGTTGATGTAGATATTTCAATCTTCCCTTCCATTTGTTGTTTTGGCAATACCTCACTTGTTAGTTGATCTTGCAAATGGATGATAAACTTGAAAACTAAGGTCATAGATATGGGAGAATAAAAAGATATAAAAGAAATAACAGGTCAGAAAGGAATACAACCTTATGAGCTGCATCCTTCAGAGTTTGAAGATTCTCTAATTTCAACTTGTAAGTTTTTATCTCGTGTGATCCTTGTGAAGCTTTTTTTATAACCTCTAGAACTTTTGTATAACTATACAACACACAAAGATAAAGTGGGATCATATTGTATTAGATCAACATTCATGAACACAATAACAAAATAGCCGGCTTGAAATTCAAATGCATTGAATTTCTTTTATAAAAAAAATATTAGAAAATCGAGCGCAAAGAAGAAAATCCAACACTGAACAAAATCGCTAAAAGACCCACAAAATTATACAAGTCAATATGAACTTGAAGAAATAAATCCAAGTCAAAACACAAATAAACAAGACTACTTTCCCAAACAATAATTGCGAAGGATATCAAAGGCATTACTTTATGTTTTATGATTCCTTAAATTCAACATTGGATCACCGACATATTGAGAGCTGGACGCTTACTTAATCTGAGCATCAAAAAGTGATCACTAGCAAATATTTCTCTATTTTGTGCAATATACTTACCCTCAATTGAAAAAAAAATTGCATTCAGAATTCTAGCATAAAAAGACATGGTTAATTTATTTACTTTATTTATTGCAGCTTACCTCAGAACCTAGCCACATGTCAATCATTTTATACAATTATCAACCTAATTTGAACTGCTTGAAGCATATTTTAAAGACCCAAGCGAAGCAAGATTGTTTTGAATTAAATAAAAAATTCAAACATCAATTTTGGAAACCCTCATTATAAATAAAGCCTGTCTGTAGCGAAATGCTCTACCAAGACAAATTTTTTTTCAAGATATTCCATTTAACCTTGAACTCTTACTTTCCAACACGTAACAATAAATTTTCACAAAGATTATCTTATATATAAAAGCACCCATGTCAAAATGTTGAACACTTATTCTTCATTGTTAAGGAAAAGAACACAAATGGGTCATAAATCCAAATAAATTCAAGTACCAACATAAGGGGAATGGGGCCTCATCGATTTTGGTTCTTGGGTCAGTTCTCTCTCTACCATGGACTCCAGCTGCTGGTCCAACTTCTTCACCTTGCATCTCGGCATCGTGGCTTCAGCGGAGGAGCTCAAGGATTTGGCCGCTTTGGTTTCACCTTCGGCGACCATTGCGAACGAGATGTCGCTGGCGGAGACAATGACGCCCTCGAGGGCGAGGGAGATGGAGAGGTTGTCGGTGCCACACCTAGCGTCACCGACGGAGACGCCGGCGAGGGGCCTGTCATCCTTGAGCACCTCTAGGGTTTTCTCAACGTTTTTGGAGTGGCCGAGGAGGATGTCGAGCTGGACCTTGTTCACGCTGTGGATTCGCCGTAGATCTTGCGCCAGCGCTGGAAGCCAGTGTTGTTGCAATAGTTGCAGATGACCTCTTTGTCGTCAAGGCCGCCGAGCGCTTCGGATTGTTGCTAAACATCCCAAACGGTTTAAACCATTTGCCGATTGCGTTTGGGATCTCCTAACAGTCGTTTGGGTTTTGTTATCTCAATCGGTTTCAACCGTTTGGGCTATTTTCACTTGTCCAAACGGTTCTAATAACCGTTTGGACTATTCTGTTTTGTACTAGTGAGAAGAGACATGCCAATGCTGAACAGTTTGACATGGAAATAAAAAGAAAAAAAAACCATTTCTCATGATGAACATTTAGTGCTTCTTGGTCCAGTACCTAACCAAATCGACAGTTGCCTAAGACTAGGATTAAAATAGCGAAATTTGAAAGTTATGCTTTTTCATCCCAACGCTTGCATGCTGCAAGCTTCTATTCCATTGAACACAAAGCAGATATCTCACCCTCGCATCATGCTGCAAGCTTCTTGGTCCACTTCACTTAACAAAGAAATACAACTATTTTAAGTTTTGCATGTATCATCACGTGCTTTGATGTAGAAAGTATAGCCATTAATATAATCCTTTACATCTCTTGGGACCCATCAAAAAAAACTTTATGTATTTGGGTATTGATTGAGATTCAGCCACGGTGTCTTTAAACCATATAAGAAAATCCTTACTATGCCTTTGAGATTCCACCCATTTTCTTCTTCTACCTCTTTTGCTCGGTTGATTCTCAATCAAGAGTTTGTGCTCTCTGTATTAATAAGAAACAAACATAATATGTTATATAGTGGAATTTAAAGAACACCAAAAATAATATATAAAGATTTAATAAATAAAGTATACCTAATATACTCCCCAACTTCCCTATTACCGCAATTGAATAAAGCATATCTATGTGCATTAACCCAATCTACATTATCCAATGCAAATACTTTGCCTTTCCTTTTCCTCTTTCCGCGCACTGGATGACCTATCTTTGGAAAAATAGGTGATGGCTCATCATCATCAATGACTTCATCATACTTTCTTGTATATCTATTAAATTTTGTCTTCACACCATCATGTAGATATAACGAGCAAAAAGTTAGCGACTCTTCAGCCAAATACCCCTCCGCTATGGAACCTTCAGGAGAACTTCTATTGTGAACATATGACTTTAATTTACAGAGATATCTCTCTACCGGATACATCCAACAATAGTTAACTGGCCTATAATCTAAAATTTGTTGAACTAAATGAATCGACAAATGCACCAT